GGCTAGGCCAGCAGTGATGTGTTGACTGGCACCCAGATTCTCGGCCTTCACCCTCAGACACGCGTTGCGAGCCATGGTGGCCCTGGCCAGGCCCCTGGCAGTGGGCAGACTACTGAGGGGGAGGGTCTCGTCCCCTGCCCAGGTCTGAGGCATTTCAGGCACCTGCTCTGCGTCTCAAAGCCCCGGTGCGGGAGCTAATGATGCCCCCAGAACCACAGGAGCACGGCCCGGCATGCTGACTGCAGAAGGCCCATGAGCAGCCCTCCTCAGCGTTTGTCCCCCAGTATCTGGTCTTCGGAGGTAGCCTGCTCCTGAACATGGAAGTTCGTTTTTGCTATCACGACCAACAGCAGTCGAGGGGCCTCTCCTCCTCCCCCCCCAAGCCCCGTGCCTCTCGGGATGATGGCATCACTCCTCCCCAGCAGCCCGCCCGCCCGCCTGAGGATGGCCTCACATGAGCACCCCACGGCACCCTCTGCGAGTGCCAAGGGAGCCGGCCTCCTCCCAAGCAGGGCCAAGAGCCCAGATGTCCCAGCCGGCTCCCGGCCAGAAGGAGTTGAGCAGATGCCGCGGGGGTGTGGGGGGCAGCCCTCCCTCCCTCCCTCCCTCACCTGGTAGAGCTGGTCGTGGGCCAAAAGGGCCTGCTTGTCGGAAGCTGCGGAGAGCAAAGAAAGAGAGACGGAGGAGCCCTGCTTAGCAGGAGTGGGCGGACCAGTCAGCTGGCGGCGCGTGGTCTCTTCGCAGGCCCAGGAAGGAGGCTGCTGGGTGTCAGCATGCTTGCCCGCTGCTCTGCCTGGCATCTTTATTCTCCCAGGCCCACTTCGTCAGGACTTCAGCAACTGCCCCCCCCCACATGCCTGACCCTGGGCTGCTCCACCCAGCAGGCACACCCTGGAGCATCTAAGCGCCACCGCCCCCCAACCCCCTCGCCACCCTCTAAGCAGCCCACACCTCCCACTGCCTGCAGCGAAGAAGACGAGGAAGCGATGGATTTATACCCTGCCCTGCCTCAGAGCGGCTGAGAGAGCTCTCTCCAGAACCACTCATGAGAGAACGGCTCTGAAAGAACTTGTGACTGACCCATGGTCACCCAGCTGGCTGCATGTGGAGGAGGAGTGAGGAATCAAAACCCTTGGATCTCCTGATTAGAGTCCCCAGCTCTTGGCTACTGCACCAAACTAAGCCCCAGGAGGCAACCCCGTTTGTACCAGCTTCTGGGATGGGGTATCTCCCTCTCCCAGGGGGCTCTTCCAGGCATTCTTCAAACTGCCGACACAAAGAAATGGACTGGAAAGACCAGAGTGAGGCCGCCTGTGGACACACTGCTCCAGGACAGGCCCTGGAGTGACGGGACACCTCCGGTCGTCCAGCTCCAGCTCAAAGGAGACCATGAGCTCTATAACCCTGCCGGGGACCATTATTATCTAGGCCTCCCCTTCTTTCCCAGCAGTCCCTTCCTCTAAAACCTCTGAGAGAGACACCCACCTGGACCCAAACCCGGCAACAAGCCCAGGTGCCCACGTGACCCTGCAGCTCCCACTCAGACGGCCGAAGAAGGCCCACTCTCTGCAGAGGGCTCCATCGCGGGCTCCCTCTCCCGCGGGTCATACGCCACCCTCCACCCGCAGTGCCCTTCTGCTCCAGAGGACAGGCGCCAGGTAGGAGAATCCACAAACACAAGGGGGAGAGGGGGCGGGCAACATTCAGCACACCTCCCTCTCCTGCCACCCTGCCAGTCACCATTCAGCAGCCAAAGGTGTTCTGAGGCACAGCCCAGGGACACGCAGCTGGATTTGGCTTCGCTTGTATCAGCCGGTAGATACCTCTGCAGGTCTGGAGCAGCATAACTGATGCAGCTCCCACCCAGTGAGGGTACTCTATGTTGCTCTCACCGGACATGTCGTGCAAAGGAGCCCGTTCGCGGGAAGGGCGGAGTATAAATGTAATGAAAATAAATAAATAAATAAGGCACTTTGACTGCCATCTCTCCGAAAAGCAGGGGACGACGTTTTGTGGATGCTGCCAAAAAACTCTGCTCCTGTTTGAATGCCAAATTGGAGCATTCTGCCATGTGGCAGAAGGTCAGGTCTCCAGCCTTTTTTCTTGCAGAAACATGCCTTTCCCCTTGTATCTCCACAATGAAAGGGACTAGAGTGTATTTTAAAAAAATGAATGCTGGGAGTTCAGAGGGGCCAGTGGATGGATCGTTATCACTTTATCATGCCACATTGATGTGTTGATTTGTATCTTTTTTTTAAGCTTGGGGGAAAATCCCATGGTGGTGCACGGCACACCAGTCTCCTAGGCCCTGTTTCAAAGACAGTCTCATGTGTGGGGCAGCCCCCCCCCCGAGGCCTCTCCTCCCCGTCCCCTCTTACCTCGAGAGAGCCGGCCTGGCTCCTGTGCAGCAAGATACCACATTGCCCCCACTAGGAACACCGTGGCAACGACGTCAGCCGCCACGATCCCCAGCAACGTGGCCGTGTCCAGCTGGACGCAGTACTGGCACACTGTGGCAAGAGAGAGAGCACTGAGCATGGGCCTGGTCACACAGTCTAGTCCAGAGAATGCTTCTGAGCATGTGCAGACTGCCTGCCCCTCACCGCTGGGGATGGCTGTGCAAGCTTCCCCCCATTTACAATCTGTTCCCAAAACTTTCTCACCATCGATCACAGTTGTATTCCTTCACCCCTTGCCTGAATGGTCGCCTCCTCCCTTGCTCACTTGGCAGCATGTCTAAGCTTGGCCCTGTGCCACAGCCACTGTTTCTGCCAGCAACACCCCCCCCCAGGCCCGCCGTGCAGTGCCTTGGGTGCTCTCCCTGGGTGCCATACCCTGGGAAATGGTCACTGCAGTCTGACAGCCGAGATGCTGGGTGGGAAAGGGCCTCTCAGGCATGTCAGCTCTGCTGCCTCTTCTTCTCCTCTTGGTTTCCGGTGCACAGCCGTGTCGGTCTGAAGCAGCAGAGCAAAGTCGGAGTCCAGCGGGGGCACCTTTAAGACCCACAAAGTTTAACTCTGGGCAGAAGCTCTTGTGGGCACGCAGACTGCTTCAGCCACAAGTAGCGTGTCCACGAAAGCGCACCCCCAGAATAAAACTTGGTTGGCCTTAAAGGTGTCTGACGGGACTCCAACTCTGCCCTCTCAGCTTCTGTGACCTCTGACCCCAGGCCAGGAGCCAGGCTGGCAGAAAGGCCAGGAGAGGACCCGATATTCACAGAAGTCATTTCTTTTTAAAATTGGTTCCATCATAACAAAATATGAATGAAAACGGCCTTTCTTCTGAAGAAAATACAGAAAGGAGGAGGCCCCCGTTTCTCCCATGAGATTCTCCTCTGCATGGTTTGATACCGGCAGGATATTTGATGTCAGGCTTTGGCATTACATCCCTGCTGGATCCAAGACACGGGCGAGGTCCAGATTGCCTCCTTCTGACAAAGCCCGAGCAGGAAGTCAAATGCTTCCTTTTGTAGGAGTTTCATTCCTGCAGGGAACCATTCAGGAAACACCCCTTCAAGAGGAGAGGGCAGTCAAACAAATCAACGTGGGGGGGGGGGCCTGGGGTCACACTGGAAACCTCTCTCTCTCTCTCCTAGGAAGCCCCCCCCCGGCCACTTTCTGGCCAAACACCCTCCCCAGCAGCCCCTTTTGTGGGTCTTAACGAAAGGCTTTTCATGGCTTCTGCCTCTGGCCACCACCAGTGTTCCCTCTCAGCTGAGTCAGTGTGAGCCAGCTCACAGTTTTTTAGCCTCCGGCTCACACATTATTTATTTATTTATTTAAATATATAACCCGCCCTCTTCGCGAACGGGCTCAGGGCGGCGTACACTTTGTCTTCACTCAGGAAGAAGGAGGGCTCCAGAGCAAACTAATTGATGCCGCAGCCGAATCACCTGCTCACAACTCTAATGACAGCGGCTCACAAAGCAGGAGTTTTGCTCCCAGGAGGACTCCACAGCCAAGAGGGAGCCTTGGCCGCCACCCCCACGGCCAGGACTGCCTGAGCCGACCTCCCTTTGCCGTGAGGAACAACGAGGGGCTCACGCACGTCGAAAGTACAGCTGCAGAGATGCGTTTCCTGCTGCCGAGTAGCACTGGTAGAGGCCTCTAGGGTCATCCGCGGCCGAGCCCACAAACAGTCTCCTTCCATTCCGCTCCGTTCCAGAGCCGACACTGCTGCCGTCTTTGCTCCAGCTCAGCACTGAGCTGCCATCGGGCACTTTGCAGTGCAGGAAGACACCTCTTCTGTCGTGCTTCACCTGGATGGAAACGCCTGCAAAGCAAATAGGTGGAAGAAAAAGGGGGGGGGGAGCGAGGCCCCCCCCCACATCCCACAGGCATCACAGGGGCCTGCAGGCCCAGTGTTTGACGTGGGCTGATAGGTGGGGGTCTCAGGAAAGAGCAAGCACTCCTTCGCAGCAGCCAGAGCCAGAGATTGTTACAAACCCCCCCACCCCGCCCCCCAGCTCCAGCCGTGCCTGGCCCCGGCCCTGGCTCGTGGGAGGGCAGGAGAGGGCCAGGCTGGGCATGAGCCCGGTGGGGGCTTCCGAGTTCTGCATCACCCGCTGGGGCATTTTCACTCACTGCTGCCTCTCCTCTCCTAGGGCCTCTGGTCTGGGCAGCGGGCACGCACGACTCTCCCTACTTACAAGCGGACCACACTGAAGCCAGTGAGACTTTCCTCCCTGGCAAGGGTGCTGGCTACATGGTCACGGCTTTCATCCTAGGAGTGGGGGTCTGACGCAGGGAACCCCCCCCATCGCAGTGCTAGCGTTTCTCTGGGGGAATTTATGATGGGGGAAACCACATTTTAGAAAATGGTTTTGTCCATGGCAGCTCTTGAGAGAGCGGGACCCCTCTGCGGAATCATCAACAAGACAGGCGACAAAGGGGGGGGCACGGGGGCTGCCTCTCACACCGTTGCCCTGTGGAGGAGTGTAGAAATGAGGGTCTGCCAGGAGCCGCTGACTCCCACCCTCCGGCAGGTCTGGGGACAAAGGCGCTTGCAGTCCACACCCACCCTCAGGGCTGCCTTGCCCAGGGGGCATCGAGAGAGCCTCTACCTTGGTTAGAGTTTCCAGCGGCGACGATGGCGATGATGCCTGAGCAAGAGAGGGAGGGAGGGAGAGAGTGAGAAACAGCAGCTGGCCTCCGGCCACGTGGGCAACCCTGGAGAGATGCAGGGGCCAGGCCACGGCTTGGCATGCCAAATATGCCCCAGGCTCAGTGCCCAAGCCTGGGCCAGGCGCCCATCAGGAAGGGTCTCTGCCAGCCCTGGAGAACATTAGGGACCTGTGGAACTCACTGCCACTGACTTAGGTGATTAGGTGAAAGGTGATTAGCCAGATCCAGAGGCGGGCTCCTCTCCAGGGCCACTGGGCATGAGAGCTAAATGGAACAGCCGCTGCCAGGTGAGGCACGCCACCACCAAAGACCAGTGGCTGGGGATGGGGGACTCCTGCCGGCATGCCTGGCTCGCGGGCTGTCCGGAAGCACCAGGCCAGCTCCTGTAGCTGCGGGATAAGTGGCAGGTGGCCAGCATGTTCACACAGGATTTGAAAATATAAAATTCCCTTGGGGGGGGGGAAATAACAATGAGGGCAACTGAGAGCCAGTTTGGTGTAGTGGTTAAGTGGGCGGACTCTAATCTGGGAGAACCGGGTTTGATTCCCCACTCCTCCACTTGCACCTGCTGATGTGACCTTGGGTCAGTCACAAGCTCTGGCACAGCTGTCCTTGAAAAAGAGCCGTTTGTGTCAGAGTTCTCTCAGCCCCACCCACCTCACAGGGTGTCTGTTGTGGGGAGGGGAAGGGAAAGGAGTTTGTAAGCCACTCTGAGACTCCAGGTGAAGGGCGGGGTATAAATCCAATCTCTTCTTCTTCTTCTTCTTCATTGGCGAGAAAGGAGTTGAGAAGGGAAGTCTAGAGCAGGGGTGTCGAACTCATTTGTTACAAGGGCCAGATCTGACATAAATGAGGCCTTGTTGGGCTGGGCCATGTGTGTGCCATAAAATGTAATGTCAGGTAGCGGAGGTATAAACTTTATAAAGGACACAAACACAAAGGTTTTTTTTTAACTTAAAATAAAAACATGCTTAAAACATTACCTCTGTAAGCTGCAAACCTACTTTTGACTTATTGACATTCACCACAGAAATCTCATGCTCAGAGTTCTGAGTGTAGGACCCAGGTTAAAACATGAGATGGCTGAGTGACTAAGAGAGTCTGGCGAAGCAAGCTAGGATGCAGCAGCAGCAGCAGCAGAACTGGAAGCAGGAGAGGGCCAGTTCCACTGCGGGCTTGATGGAAGCCCTCCGGGGGCGTGATCCAGCCCCCGGGCCGCATGTTTGACACCCCTGGTCTAGAGGGTTGGAGCTCTCCAGAACACTTAGAGGATGTGTAAAATGATGAAAACTGAAGCACTGACAGAATTCCTACCACAGATCCAGAGGATGCTTGGCTAGTCCACGAGCAAGGACAAGGCGGCCGTGCGAGATAAGGAGGCCGTCCTGAAAGAGCGGGAGGCTCCCTTGAAGGAGGAGGAGGACAAAAAGGGGCCCAAACCCTGACAGATGCAGGCTGGCAGCGAGGCGACGGAAAAAACCCAGCGGACTGAGCAGCCGCGTATTCCTCAGCACATTCAAACAAAGATTGAGATGCGCCAGAAGCAGGAAGCCAGCCCAGGAGGTAGTTTGACTGTTAGACCACAGAGAGGCGGAGGGTGCCCTGAAGGCCGGGCGGGGAGGGAGACTGCAAAGAAGCTGAATGTGTTTTTTCCATCAGAACTTCCCGCAAACCACTCAGGAGGGTGAGAACCTGAACAGACTGTGAAGAGGTCTGAGAAGAGCTTTCTCAGTTGGGGGGGGGGGGGAATAATGCGGGGAAGAGTTCAGTATGAAGAGGCATGAACTGACGCCCCCGCCCCCAGGGCACTCAAATACAGGCCGAGGGTGTCTGAACTGGCTAAGAATAACAACAGGCTCTAGTGGGCAGCTGCCTGGAAGTGTCGACTCCGCATGCAGCCGAGCTGCGGGGGGGGGGGGGGCGGGGGGGGGGGGGGGGGGGTTACCAGGAAAAAGGATTGGGAAGGAAACCCCCAGGGGTCATAATGCCCCTCACCTCTGGAAAGGTGCCTGTGGTCTTCTACCTGGCTCCTGTAGAGCAGCAGGACAAAAGAGATGTCAAAGCACACGGGACCTTTATTTAAGTGAAGAAAATCATGTGTGTGTGTGTGTGACCAAGAAGAGGCACAGAAGGTGTGCTTCTCCCTGCAATGTGTCATTCGCTGCCACAGGTGTGGTGGCCGCAGCAGTGGCTGGGGCCCAAACGAGGCCTGGTGTTGCGAGTTCCGAGGCTGCACAGACACACGGAGCAGCTGTTTGCCCAGCAGGGCAGGGACGTAAGCAACGTGCCGAATGCCTGCGGGGTTCGCCTGCAAAATGCAGGACTGCAGGGGCATTTGAGGCCAGGGAAAGGACAAGTGGCAAAGGGCACAAGTCTGCTCACGCACACCTGTCATTTAGAAAGAATAACTGCTTGGGAGGGTGCCGTGGCCCTGAAACACCCAGCATTGTACCTGGCTTAGCTCTTCAATGGCTTTAAATGGAAAGCCAACATCTTCAGGAAGGATGAAATCCAGGGACGGCTGTTCACCGTGGGAGCTAAACAGAATCCCCCTAATGCAAGGCAGTGCCGCACGGGATGCCTGTTGCTTGGAGGCCAAGGGAGGAGAGGGGGGCTGCGGCCCTCAGGAAGCTGAAGCCGTGCCTGGTGGGCTTCAGGGAGGTACCTGGCTGGCAGGGCCGGCCCCAGCATATTTTGCACTCTAGGCGAGGATCCCTTCTGGCGCCCCCCGTGCGCCCCCCCCCAGTCAGAGCCAGCGTGGGGGGGTTGGGGGGGGGTCGGGTGCAGTTTGGTGCCTCTAATGGCTAGGGCACTCTAGGCGAATGCCTAGTTCGCCTAGTGAGCGAGCCGGCCCTGCTTGGCTGGCCACGGGGCGGGGAAGGCAGGGTGCTGGGCTGGCTGCCGCCTCTTTGCAGGGTCCTGCTCTTAGGCCCTTGTTCTCACAGCACCCCTCCGCCGTCCTAGTTCTGGGCTGGGTTCTGCTGCTCTCTGTTAATGGGATTCTTTTTTTTTGGGGGGGGGAGGTTGGCATGTATGGGACCTGCCGTTTTCAGAACGAAAAACGGGATGCCAGTGCAGTGGAAGAGGCTACTTTCCAAGTGTGCTGGCAACTTTTGAGATGTGCATCATTTTAGGAGCTCTTTTGCGGTACAGATAACAGGGGACATGGGGCTGTCAACCTCCAGCTGGCGGCTGGAGATCTCCTGCTGCTGCTATTCCAACTGACCTCCTCCCCGTGCGGCTCTGCGTCCCCCTGGCCGCCCCTGCCCGCTCCGCCCGCCCCTTGCCCCGCACTCGGCCCCCACCTACCTCCGACCGCCAGCGCCAGGAGGACCGTCGCGCCCGGGGGATGCTGGCCGCCGCCCATGCCCTTCCTCCGGCCTCCCTTGCCCAGGGGGAAAGGAGGAATGACCCACTCCGGGCCGCAGCCAGGAACCCCGAGCGGAGCGGGGAGAGGAAAGCGGCGAGGGACCGTCCTCTCTGAAGTCAGCAACAGGAAGCCGGCGGCGGGGGGGGGGGGGCCTTTTTTCCCTCTCTC